GCTCCGATTATCGTGGACATTACTCGCATGGGCTCAACCGGCTCCACATCTATGTCAACGATTTGGCAGAGAAGTCGACGATGAGCGATGGTAGGTACTTGACATAGCTTTTGACGGGTTCCACGTTGAGTACGAGGGCGGAGACAGTCAACCTTCCCTCTTTTTTTTTTCCTTCGTTTCCAGGATTTTTCTCCGGATAGTCCTTAATGTTCTGTGCAGTCTTCGAAAGAATTTCCTTCCTTTCAGGAGAACCTATCATTATCAAAGAAAAAGGTGCCACAGCTTGGGTAGACGGCTGCAATTTGCTTGGACCGGTGGTTGGAAATTTTTGCATGAAACTGGCAGTACAAAAAGTATGCTAGAGAACTTTTTCGTTTAAGCTCCGCTTTCAAAGTAGTTATCCAGCTATTATTGAAAGCCCTCACTCATAGGCGAGGACACATGGCATCGGATGGGTGGTGGCGAAGAACTCAAACCACTTTGGAATCGCTGGATGGTATGCAGCAAGCGCTCTTCAGCAAGGACTCGTAGTAAGCGATTAATAATTTATAAAACACAGAAATATAAAATTATGCCACAAAATACCATTGACATGACAGGGTAATAGTGTCCCCGGTAGTGTAATGGATACGCACTCGCCCGGTCAGCGAGAGGTGCGGGTTCCAGTCACGTCTGGGGTCTGACTCTTGCCCATATCTCAGCGTTCTCGTGGTAACCTTCCGAGCCCGTACTGCGGCGTTAAACAGCAGTAAAAAAGACCTTGAAAAGTAGAAAAGCCGTCAAACGCTTAGTCCCACCCGAATACCAAACTAGCGATTGCGCACAATGTCTGCCATCTCGCTCGTCTTTCTACTCTTTCTTCCTTTCGTGTGTAGTCTCTCGTCTGCGCTCGCTGTATTTCTTTCTCGTGTGCCCTACAATGAACGAAACAACTGCAAAGGCCCAAATACTCATTTAGGGCCTTTTCGACGGCTTTTTTTGCCATGATCGAGGCAGTTAGCATCTTTACCCTTATTTGTACCCCAGCATAGAAATCCTACCATGCACCGTGGGATATGCCGTAATGCATATTTTACCCTGTTACCTTGAAACGACAGATGATCCTAATTTACGGCGCAATTTGGCTTGGTGGGGGTACCTCAT